TATACACACACACACACACACACACACACACACACACACACACACACACACACACACAAACTCTCTCACACACACAAACATGGAGGATTCATCTCCTAAGAACATCTCACATGCATTTTGTGGTGCAATCTACGTTACAAGCAAATTAAAAAACTTGCAGTTCACGAGATATTGATGACTACTGAATAAACAGTTAAATTTAAAATTGATCTTCAATGAATTCTATACCAGACCAACACTTTTGTCTACGTGCATTTTATCTATCCTAAATTATAAATAAATAAAATGGTGAGGAGAATAAAGAAAATCCAATGCTCTAAAACAGAAATGGAATCAAATAAATTGTTATCTTGTCAAAAAAAATTCTTAATTTAGACAGAGTTTTATATACTATGCCAATGTTTAGTGGAAATTATATCAGATTTTGATAGACGCTAATGAAAGTATGATAAAAAAGTTGTGGGATCCTATAAAATGTGTGATTAAAATTAATTATTGATTTTGATTTGAAATTTTAATCAGGTTTTAATTTAAACCAAACATGTGCCATATTTTTACCATATGAACTTGATACATTCCTTGTCGACTACCAAAGAGATGAATTTTATTATTTTTTAAATAAGAAAATAGTCTATTTTACTTATGTGGAAGATTTATAAAGCATTGGTAAAATAGAATTCACATAGGCAGTTTCAAATTTGTTGAGAATAACTTTTAATCGTAGCCAACTCTTGGCAATCAATTTATAAACGGTTTCGTCAAAGTCAAATTACACATTTATAATTATAATTTATTTATTTTCATATATTTCGTAAATTCGATTACTTTATTTTTTTTATTTAAATGATTTATAAATTTGTCATAAACTACCATGGTCCAGGTGTGGACAAAGTACTTTATTTGCGTGCAAACATATCGATCACAAATCCAATTAAAAATTGAGTCCCAAATTTTCAATATCTTTCTTTTCAAGAAATGATAGGTGATGCTGGAATTGGGGGGGGGGGGGGGGGGGTTTGGGGGGGGGGGGGGGGGGGGGGGGGGAGGGGGGTATATTTTTTTTTGTGGGCAAGTAGATTGGACCCATTTGTTGCATTACTTTTTTTAACGTGCCACCAATTTTAGAAGCATTCTCCTGTTGATTCACATGTGATATTTGTCATATATTCTCTCTCTCTAACATTTGCATGCCTAAATGGGAATGAAAGAAACTTGAGGTTAAATTGAAATTTGATACATAAATCAACCTATATAATATAAGAGCAGTGCTATCCTTATAGAATCAGCAGAATTAGGGTGCTGTCAGACAACACACATACGTGGGGCTCGCATAATTTTTTTTTCTTTTTTAATACAGGTGGGGCCCTGCACAGTGAGGGGCCTTGTAAGTAATTTGTGAGAAAAAGCCCTTTATATAAATCAACCTATATAATATAAATGCATGCATACATATCGGTGTTATAAAAATCGATTAAGACCATTTGATTTGACCAATAAAATCGGGAATCGGGTTGAAAACCCTCTAAAAATTCCTTAGTTAAAGTTTTGCCATAAAACTGCTAAATTGATCGATTTTTCCGATTTTATAGGGGGGATTTTAACAAAAATAAACTAAAATACATTTGTACAATATTTTACGTACCATGGCATGCACTCTGTAAGTCCTTTTATGACCTCTTTCACTCTCATTTATACCATGAATTTTCTCATGTGAGATTATTGAAAAGCTAAGCAAAACCCATTTCGCCACTTTAGATATACCATTTCTTCCTGCTGTATTTTTACCATCTTCCATACTAAAAAGTAAAAACAAGTACATAGTATTTTTCATATTTGATAAGAAGATTGTTTTAATTTTATATGGGGCCTTTTAATTAGATGATCTAACATTTGTTTATTATTTAAAAATTTATTTATTCATTTTTTACCGATTCGACACTTTTAACCCGCGACCCTTTCACTTTTTCATGTCGATGCTTGGTCTTATTTCTAGAACACATAGAAAAAGCACCGTGTTTTAATAAATTTAGTGTCTGTAATGTTGTTTATATATTTTTTCATTAGTTGAATGTTAATTAAACAATAATAAATCACAAATTTCATAAATGACAATAATTAGGTAGTATTTATTACATATTGAAAATCGAAAAGTAAAGTA